ACAGCGAGTTAATCCCAACGGCAGCATCTACAAAATAAATATGTCCTATCAAAAAGCTTACCTGCTTGTTGAGATTTGTAGCGGTGTCTATTTTGAAACATTGGATTTTCAAAGCCTCACTTTCGTTCTCAGGCGTTTCTGGTAGATTAAAATATTTTGTACAGTTCGTTGCAAAGTAGGTTAGAGGATTCCATGTTCTCCCAGAGTCATTTGACTTCAAAAGGTACATTGCAGCCGGTAACTCGTGAAAAAAAGTTACCATAGACTGATACGGCATGAAAGTTCTTCGAACCTCTTGCTGTAGAACAACAGGAAACTCGTAGTTTTTTGACTTCCAGAATGTATTGTCTCTAAAGTCGTCGTTTACAAAGTTAGCAGGATGTTTACGTTTCTCGTCGGACGCATTGCAAATTTTAGTGCAATCCAAGCCAACGCAGTATTGCTCTGACGGGTTACCGCAAGTTGAGTTCGCCGTAACATTAAAATGCTTTGAAATGTTCAAAGGAGAAGGATAGCAAGGTCCAACACTACACGAATCTTGGCCCGAAACAGGTGCAAATATCGCAAATAAACACAACGCGACAAGTAGGTTCGAAGACACAATTCGAACGCGGTTGCGATACCAAGCGTCCCCAGATTTGCCACATTCTCAATATCAAAACTGTTATCTTCCTCTTTCAATATTATTATGGATGTGATTCCGTTCTTATTAACTTGATTTTACAATGCTGTCGGATGACTTTTGTGCTATAGTACCCTGAACTTGATTGGGGAGTGAAATAAATAAGGCTTGGCGCACTTTTCACGGTTGATTACATGCCCGATGGGGATTGGAAGAATTCAGGAAAGTTATGCAAACCCACGACTGCGTTTCGGGTTTGCATAACTTTCGAGAGTTCTCCCAACCTCCCGAGTGAAGTGAAATTAGTAAAGAGAGAAATTGTGAAGGGAAACAAATAAGTCTTGAAACACTTCTGAGGTGTATCGAGTAAAAAGCGTTACCACAGTAAGGAAACTTCCCATTACTCAATTGTGTCATAAATCTACTTTCCTAAGTAAAAATAAAATAACTAATTAGAAGTATTGTATTGTAGATATACTATATTGATTATTGAATAAAGGACAGTTGAATCAGAGGAATGAAAGGAGTCACTTGACCTATGAATACTCTACAACTTCCGAACTACATTTACTTTTTTTATAATCTGCACTCGAAGGTTACCTTCTGTGAGCAGTTTTTCTCTGTTACAGAGCCAAAGTCATCAAGTAACAATTAAAGCTGTTCTGAGTTTTGTACCACGGTGGAATTTGTGTTTGACAACCAGCTTCAACGAGAAATTAATCTCTAAACAGCGCTAGCAATCGCGCTCTATCCCTCACTTGGTATTTTTTATATACTTTTAAACTGTTTAAGCACTTAGGTAGAGGAAAAACTTGCTTAAGCTAACAATAACAGAAAAGGAATTTTTGCCACTAGACTTGAAAAATAAATTGAAAACGTTATTGATCAAGAACTGTAGTCTTGTTACTGTTCAAATATTGACAAAAGACGATTATTAGGGTGTTTGCCGCTGCATTGTTCATCTTTTCTCAAGTACAACGTAGTTTAAATTAATTTTAAAGGTTGGTGAATTCACATTATTCAAAATTCATTCAAAATGCGCCAATCGCAAAAAGGATGAGGCACGCCGTTGTAGGAAATCTCTAGTAACCAAAATATTAGTCCAATCCATCAATTAGTGCTATCGCCATTTAGTTGACTATTCCAAACCCAAGAAAAAAATCCATCGTTTTATGCAATCCTATGTTTATCAGTTCAACTCAATCATGGCCACAATTTTTTCCGCGGTTTTCGGAGTCTGTTCCTCAAAAAGCTGAAAAATTGTTTTACAAAATGTAGGTGAGCAAACTCAAGTAGTGGCAGAAGACCAGGCTGAAATATTAGATTCAATTATTTATTTGATTCGGGCATTGCAAAGGATAACAGACGTCCTACCATCGGGCTTTATGACCTTTGATAAAGTCACTTACAGGCGCTACCTCATATATGCTAACACTGCCACGGAATCAAATGACTCGTACTTAGTCTACCTCATCGCCTAAAGAAGGTTACACTGGCATTGCAGCTGTAAAGTGGCGATCCACACAGGAAGTAACCAAGTCGAGAGACAAACGTTCATACAATTATTTCTAAAAGTTTAGTCAAGGAATCCCAGAAGAAGGGAATCCGCCTCCTAAATAATAAAAGTAAAATTCCGTCTTTTTCCCGATGCCTCGTCGGAGATGAAAACGTCTTTTGAGAAACGATTGTGCATGCGATCCACACATAACTTGGACTTTGAAAGAAAGGTTCGAGTAAGCGTGAGATGAGAACAAAAGGCCTTGAATTAGGAAAGAGGGGTGTTGACTGTGACGCTATTCAGCCAGTGTATATTTAGTCAAATTCCGAGACCGATCAGTTGAAAAAGAAAATTTTGAAGAGGCATTTTAGAGGAAAAGTTTTGTAAAGTTACAATGCAGTGCAGTTTATTGAGACCATAAAAAACGAAACCTAGCTTTGACACACACGTTTCTAGCAATTTTTAAGAAAGGCAAAACATAAATATTGTAAATAACGTATTTGCATTATCTAGCTTCGTACTGTAAAAGAAAATCACGTTCTGTCCGCAGCCTGAAGTTCGTTTCTACGATCTCTGAGTGAACTTGTGGCTATATTGATTTCCTTGTAATCGTACCAAGAGCCCATTACCTGTCATGTCTATTACTAATAGCTCTTTAAGTTTTAAAAGTTTGCTTCCTCTACTACCCTTTTGTTTATCCTATTTCATGCAAATTATTCTTCCATTTTTTGTTCACGTTCTTTTCAATTTATTTTTAGTCAGGATCGGAACGCGTCCAGAGAGCGTGTCCAGGTCCATCTCTCTTATTCATTCATCTTCATGTCTTATGTAGAATTGTAATATCCCAGTCGATTCTTGCCTTGATGCTTAACATAATTTTATAGTAAGTAATACAATTTAAACAAGAGGATATCAACTCTTCTCTCAAATTTTAAAGCGTATTTTTGTCGTCACGCTTTATCCTTGTAAACCAGGGTTTTTTTTATCCGACGGATTAAGAAACTTGTATAAAACATGCTTTTCAGGCGTTTTAATTAACAAGGTTACGTTATAATCTCTTTTACTATCATAGCGCATCAGCCTTTGTCATTCGAACAGAAAATACATACTAGATTATGCTTACACAGCAATGAATACTAATGGTGCTCACATATCTCACGTTTTTTATTCCCTTGTGCATTTGTCAAAACCTGTGAAGTACGTGTCTACATGATTTACAGCGTTTTCTCCCCCACTTAGGGGTTGTGCTCAGGCGGAAACAGCTTTCAGGGACTGTAAGAAAATATTGATATTCTCTAGGGGTCTGTGATAACTAAACTACTAGGAATAGACTTAGATATTACTGTCAAACCTCTCCACAACTGCATGCCACATTAGGAACATACAAAAGACGTAAGCAAAACAAAATGAGTAAGGTACAACGATCAATGCATTACAATTATTGCTAATCCGTTTTCTTAACTTTATTTCTTTTTCAGGTGGAACGCCCTTAAGTGAGGAATTGATAAAATTGATGTGCTTCGCTTGCACTTACTCGGTGCTTTTGCACGACTAAAGAAGACTGCAGACACGATTAACCTTTTGCACACTCGGTAGCAAAAACGTTCACATCTAAAAAGCGGTTTTTTTGCTATACATGTTCATGATAACAGACATTAATTGCACGCGGTGAATGATGGAAGCTATCCATGCTTTCCTGAAAGAAAAAAGATTTTCTTAAAAAATATATTTCCCGGGAATAATCAGAAAAGAAATTTCTGACCATGGAACTATACGAACAATTCCTTTTGAGTCGTGCGGCGTCATCGTTCGTGGGTCATGCTTTTCAGGTGTCAAGATTTTTGCCGTCGAGTGTATTCAAATTCCTAAACCGTAGGCTTCTTCAAAATTCAAAAGAAGGTTGTTCAGTGAAGTTAAACTAATTCTCGTGGAAAATCAGTTCTATAGTCAGGATCAGATCAAAGGTTTACTCGTTTAATTAGAAGCAAAAATTAATAGAGATCTATTTCAAAACATACAATTTCATGAAGAAAAGTGTACTCATAACTTAATAAGCTTTTAATTTTGTTCAGGAAAAATTGAAAGTCATTATTATTAACTTCCCCTGTTTAAAAACAAATAATAATTGAAGACCTCTCTTTAGATTATTTGTTATTGTTCGACCACCAACCGTTAAAACTTGACAACTTTAATTTAGCTTTCTCCAAATGGTGATGGTTCTTATTTATTTTGCTTTAAATGCACAATATTCGTATTCAGTTTAGAAAAATAATCATTCAATTTTGTAATTTCCGTTCGAATGACGCGAATTGAATAGGAAGTTTGATTTTTACAGAAAGTTTAAAAATGTTCGCACCATTCTTGAGTTCCTGTCAAAATAGAAATTAAGTTTGAATACATTCGCCTCCTTTTTTTGTCACTTCTGCCACCATTTTATTATTTCCTTCGTTTTTTTTACAAAGGATAGGAAAGCTACCAAAGTAATAATGCAATAGTTCGCTACCTGAGGAAAGACAGCGACGTTAATCTAGGATAGCTAAAATTTAAAATCGGTTTGATTTCACACGTAAAAACGTGAGGAAAGCAGGGCATATATATTGTATAATTTTATGAAAAATGAGCAAATAAGATGTAGACGGCAAACCTCTTTTAACGTCACAAAATTAAAGAAAACTTTGTATTTATCTGGATGAGCATTAGTTTGTGGGTTCAGATAGTAAACTGAATAAAAGACCTGATTCCTTCTCACTCTTTGACCCCAGAGAGTTTTTCCCCTCACGTCAATATCAAGAGTGACGATAGTTGCAAAAAGGTGGCAGTTGATTTGAGCGGGTACATTAATAAACCCAAGTACATAAAATATATTCCAGGTGGCCACATTTACTCAAACAGCGTTCGTGTACAGATCATTGCATTTAAAAACAGGAAACAATTTTTTTTCCAAATTGGTCAAAGAGAAATAAAGAAATTCTGTGGTGGATGAGTGAATTTGTTTCGAAACACGGTTTTCGTTTTCTAGAGAAGATAGGGTATTACTCAATAATCCGTAGAATGTTTACCGACAGTGACAACATACAACTATATGTAAACGGAATTTAGAATGGCTCGTCTTACTCCACGGAAATAATGGGTGAAACAATTTTCTAAGAGAAGTAATTAAATCCATCCTCAGTCTCGAAATCTTCTGTTATATCTATGACTGCATCGACTTTGTGCAACACGATAAGCAAAGGAATGACTTCTTAGTAATAAAATCATAAAAATTTATTGAATATCAGTAAAAGGCGGAAAACATCCTTAATCATTTTTTGATTTCATATCTTTAAAAGGCCGGAATCGTCGGCGTCGATTACGTAAAAGTGTTTATGCTCAAACAGCCAAAACAATTATAGATTTTTAATTAGAGCTTTATTTTATTACAATTCCGGTTCGGTCAAGAAAATTACTGCTGAAGTGTTTGTGTTGACATTTCTAAGGGCAAATAAAATGCGGCCGCTTTAGAAGTTGGCATCTCTCCTTTAAAACTCAGCGATACGAGAGGAACAAACTGTCGCAAAATTATTCCAACATGAACGCTAAATTTCTGCTGGCTTTTACACTCGTCCTTCTTGCAACTTTCGTAGCGGAGAATGAAGCCTTTACCGCTGGTGGAGGGGGAAATCTTCCTTTTTCAGGAAAGCGCGACCTAGCCAAGTCTGTAAGTTCTCTCAACTGTTTTTTTTGTTACTGTGTTTTTTTAAGCAATGCTCAATATAACGTTTTGTGATGAACAACACTTTTCATCTGCCTTCTTACTATAGTGACTCCCTAGAGTTATCGGTGTTAATATTTTCCTATTCAAAATTTAATCGCGTGTTGTTGTGTTTTTTTAAAAGTAATGCTCAATATAACGTTTTGTGATGAACAACACTTTTCATTTTCCATATAACTATAGTGACTCCCTAGAGTTATTGGTGTTAATATTCTCCTATTCAAAATTTAATCGCATGCTGAGCACCCAGGTAACGAGAGTAAAAAAGTCATTCAAATAGAGGTTTCTGTCAAAATAAAACAGCAAATTCTTTGTACTAACCAGCAAGGAAATGTACGCTAATAGTTACATGAAATAGCTTTGAGATCTTGGTAGTGAACAGGCTAATTTTTTCAATCTACCTAGTAGATCCGATGTTCGAAAATAGACCGAGCAACTAAAGTTTCACTCTCGCACAGGATTATATATCGCGAGTAACGACACGTGGGTAACGTGAGAATGTGTAAGCTTCACAACTGAAAAGATGATTTTTGCGCCATTCTGTCCAAAAAATTACTTTCATTAAATGCTCTTCGTCCCTTCGGAGAGTTAACTTTATTTTAAAGTAGGTGGGGCCGTACAAGTAAAGGAGAGAGGAGGGCGAACTAGGTTGTGGCATTGTGATGTATCGTAGCTTTTTTGGTTAAAGGGTATGTCACATGCACCCTTAGACACCTCCTGCTCTCTTCGTCCCATCCATACCCTTAGCATTCACTCACCAGTGATTTGTCTTATGATAGCACCAACTGGCCGGGAGAGCCTTGTGTACAGCTGCTAGAGAACACTGCAAGAGGGAATTTGTATTGGAGGACATCAATGAATGAAGAGGTGGAGGAGATCAGGACTGAACTGAAGCTTACTATTGCCTCTTGTTGCTCTTGTAAAATCACTAATTAATAAAGAGTGAAATAAGAAATCTTTAGTCAGATGTCACGTTTGCTATTTACAAAAACAAATCTGTGTTTTCAAAGTGACCTCTTGAAAAAATAATGATTAACTAAGCATGTTAAACTAAGGCCTATCAGATAGTTCTCGGCACTCAAATTTAACCTTTCTGTGTTGGATAATAATACTGGAATGTAGGCGCTGGCAATGCATCGATTAATCCCACGCTTCAACAAACCCTCCGGGTAACCCGCTGGGTATTTGAACTTTTAAAGATTGGTATCTTCAAATCCCCTCCCCTAGGACAAAAATTGCGTTCAAATGCCCTACCCAATTTTCTTGTGAGGCAAAATCAGCAGCCGAGACTTTATACACATTGACTAAGCTTTAAACCCTAAACCTTGAGAACCCTTTCCTCGAGCCATTCACTCGCGATAGTGAAATATTTACCTTACACTGGAAAGACTTGACACTTCTGGTTCAAATTTCACCCCAGCCAGACAAGGTTCAACTTCCCCAACCCCCGGACACGGACGACGATCAAAATGCCCATGGGTTGCCTTGGGGAATGTGGTCGGCAAATAAGTACTAAGTTTTTGTTGACAATAACTTCCTTACCTTTCTTAAGGTCGTCTAACTGAACTTTCCTCAGGTAGACAACCGCTGCACGTAGCTTTCAACGCAAAAAGAAGCCCATTCTTTATTCCTTTTCTAAACGCATCATTACAAATGCCTTTAACCCTTTAACTCCCAGGATCTGATTATGAATTCTCCCCTCTAGCTGCTACACATTTCTTAGTAAATAACTCACAAGAATTTGGTGTTAGATCAGGACCACCAACCTCTACCTGATAAGGTTGAATATCCTCACTACATATTAGCTAGATAATGTATGGATATTATAGGGAGAAGTTACAAGTTAATCGCTTCTGGGAATTAAAGGTTAACACGCGAAGGAAATTCCGTGCGAGAACTGATTCATCCTTAGTCGTTTCCAGTGGGCTGTTAACCCTTTACACATCAGTATGCATAATCTCCATACTACTCTTTATACATTTCTTAAGGCGCTGACAAGGAGATTTTGTTTACTGATCAAAAGCTTCTACTGTTGGTAATTACTTCCTTCATTCTCATGACCCTAATGTTTGATTCTGGGGTGATATTGTTGGGAGAAATTAGATGCTGGTCACTCTTAGGGTTTAAAGGATTTATATGGAAAACGGACTCTACATTTATCATCTTTTTATTACTGTGATATGCTACATGTACCGAAAATAATTTTCAACTGAACTAAACACAGATTATATCTACTATGATGTTATCGTATATTCCGTTCAACCCGCTTCACCGCGTGACATCTTATGTGACCAGCACACAAATGCGTCACGTAAACCAAGAAGCGAGATCTGGTAAAGCAGAATATACTTAGCACCAAGCGAGAACAAATAATCTATCTAAGCCCGTGGGAACAAAGTAGAAGCATTATTAATCATCACTTTCGGACAAACGAATGAAAATGAACAACGATAGTCGAACAAACATTATCGCACATATTTATTGAGACCAGATTTCTGCTTCATAGAAGCAATTAGCTAAACCGTACGGAAAAGCGACCTTAAAACTACACGACGTGAAAATCTCAAAGGCTTTGTATGATTAACTCAACGCACGCATAAGATAATGATAACTAATGTCAATATGTTTAAGCCATCAGTAAAATGGTCATTTGATGAATGCCACAAAAAAAGGGACAACCTTCCCAACGTGATGTTTTTAACGCAGTCAATTCAAAGCTGAAACCAAAAAAGATCTTTAGGTTTGGAGGTCTAAATTCTTCCTATGCAGCCTTTCCTTCGCTTTGAACTGATTTCCTCTAACCTCATTGGTTAGCTGCTCTGTGTGTCATAGCCAATCAGATTTTTTTTTTTTTTTTGCATGACATTTCTGAAAAAAATTAGCACCGATGTGTCTTCTCTTGAAATCGAGTGTCGCAGTTGCATTGTCACCTAGCTTTTTTAGAGTCTAAAGAGAATCTAAGCGAAAATGAGACATTATGATACGATCCCTGGCTAGCGAGTACTGGGACTCACTTTGTCGTGATGTAGAGCAATTAAGAAACATGTTGAATACAAAGAACAACTACGTTTCAACATATAAATATTTACAAGCAACAATGTCATATTTAAAACTTAAAAATTTCCTATACAACAATTCTGTCATCCTTTGTGCAATATGCCGTCTGAATTTGAACGTGTTCCGCTGGACCAAAGCAAGTCACGGCATTTGTGAAACAAAGTTTCAATAAATATTCTAATTTTCCAAGAAACTTGTTCAGATTTGATCCGTCATCGTCTCTTGTCACTAAGGCTCTGAGGAAATCTAAAATATAACAATGAATGTTAGACACAACAAATAGCACTACAAATCGTATGCAAACTAAATTATCCCTGGCTATTTTCAATACAACTGAATTTGGCTGACACGTCAAAAAGGAAAAACCCCTTGAACAAGGAAGGAGCGAAAAAAACGACGAAGCTTCATTACTTAAAACCACGTGAAAGGAAACGAAGATAGGTCCAAAAACGGAAGATAAACATAAAAAAAAAAATTCTTTAGTTCATCTTACCTGTAAGCTTTATGTTATAGGCTCTTTGACTGCTCGTATAACTTGTATGTTTCCATTATCCATAACAGAGGCTATCTCGCTTACCGGTGAATGATAAGTTTGTCTGAAGACCTAAAAACAATGTTAAACACACGCGATAAGCAACAAAGACGTGGAAGAAAAGCCAGAGAGAGCAACGAAGAAAAATAGTAACAAACACCACGCGTCAATTAATTTAAAGAGGCCGTCAAAAAAACTGTACAGCATAACAATTCCGATCTCACATTTAATAAGCATTTTGGTTTGAGAATAAGGAACTCATTATCGTAAAATATATATTGTCTTGAGTACTACCGTATTCTTAATGAAAATCCTCACATACAAAAGAGGAAAAGAGTAATTGCCATAGGTACATTCACTGAGAGTTTTAAGAGGGAGGAGGCTGTGGACCACATAGATCGAAGTCTTTATTGAAAGACAAATTAAAACAAAGTTGAAACAAGGAAAATGTGAATATTCTTACCTGAGGTCCAAAGGAGGGTTTTCCCTTTTTCTCTCTGTATATCAAGTAAGCTATAAAAGTTCCCATGGCGACGGCAAAAGTGCCGAATACAACGCCAAGAGCTATGATACCACCATCACTGACACCTGTTGCTTTAGGCGGTTCGGTTACAGCAGATTCCTTTACACTGTGAAGGGTAAAAATAGAACCAAATAAGCAACATTACACTTCGAATCAAGCCAAAAATAGTTTTAGGTCTTGCAAACATATAGTGTTCTAGTAACTGGCGAGTGAAAGAAAGAAAGGCGAAAAAAAAAAAAAAACTATGGTAACTCGAATTAATACCTTGGTGAGTGGTGATCACTCGGGGTATTTAGGCTCCCTCCTGGCCACACAATTTTTTTCCTTATACTGAGTCCATGATCCGGGGAGGGGTCGTAAGAACCAACTTTCACCCATGAATCTCCATTTAGGTTCACAACATCATAAATTGCCGGCGCATCTTGATTGGAATCGAAGAACTGTTTTCTTCCGGTTGAGCTGTCAAATCCTGTACTTGCGTCTTTCATTTTGCGTAATTCTGTCATTATCTCCTTTTGCACGTCCGCACGGGAGGAGTACTGCGAGGCGGAGAGCGTTTGGATGAATAACATTCAAGGGGGGGGGGGGGG